GGGCCCCAGGGGAAAAAAGCCCGACAATGGAGCCACGTCAAGTGATCACAAGTGTCAGGCGTAGTTATTGCCGGTCACACTGTGCAACGAAGGACAGGAACTCACCCTGCTGTCAAAAGCCTTGAGAGATGCTCATTCTCCTTGAACGAGTTCACTCCACGGCTCAAGCCACATGCCGACTGTTCGACTCAGTACGGATTACAGAGCTGTCCGCCTTCTTCCTTCCTTGCCCCCTCCCACCGCCTTGCTTTTGATGACCCCAGACCCTTGCTGGTCCGTTCAAATGGCTCAGAACCCGACGATGCACCCAGTCGCAACTGCCCTTTCTTCTCTGCGGCCCCTCTGCCCTATCTCAAACCAGTGAGCTTGTTAGTTGTTTGCTTCGCTTCGTTGCCCCGACTCACCGTCTTCTCTCTTTGCCATGACATTTTTTCTCCGCGACGACGCCCTCGTGCGGTCACTTGCAATTGCCCTAAACTGGCTAGCTCTGCCTAAAAAGATAGCCCTATTCCTGTCAGGAATACCCAGCTATATTCCCGCCCCTTGGCCCCTTTCTGGCCTATTAGCGAAGCACTCTTTTGGCTCTTACCCATTCTTGTGTCTCTGTCTTGTCTCGCCGTCTCCTCTTCTTATTGTTCAGTCACTCTGCTCTTGTTCGTGAACCCGAGCTCTCAGCGTCTGCATGTCACATCACATCACATCGTTCCATTCACCCCCCCTCTCAATGTTCATACGCTCTGTTCGCCTACTTCCAACCGCCTCAAGTACTGATACGCTAACCTTTCCATTTTTTTTTTTCACATGTACGCGCTCAGGTCACGAGGCTTCAAATAAACAGTTGCAAAGAAAATTGCGAACCAGTTTAATCAGTCATGCGTTTACCCTCCCAAATTTCGGTCTAATCTGTGATTTGTACGACCGGCGGACAGCTTACATTTCATTGACATGCGGAAACCAACCAAGATGCATCCGAACAATTAACAGATGGCAAATATAAGTCGGGCCCAACACAGACCTCTGATGCCTTCTTTTCCCGCGCCCTCCTGTCTGTCACAATGCGCACCCCCAACACGCCTCGGTACGTACATGCTTGCGAGATGCTGTAGACACAGTTTACACACCTATTTATTACACACTACACTCACAGGGCCTTGCTGTACCACACGCAGTCGTAGTAGATGCATATCCGCATTGCACACCCTTCAACTCTAACATGCGTGGCAGACACCTTTGCAGATAGCCGCACCCCAGTTAGCCTGCCTGGTCGAGGTGGCGACCATTATCCATCCTCCGGCTTCCCTTCCGCAAACCAAAGCAAACCTCCCGCCTGGCGAGCCAGCCACTTTAGCATGCAGCTATAGTGGGATGAACCCTGTGCATTGGATCTGTTTCTATCCCTATGCTGCTTGGCTGCCGCAATACCATTACCCAGGCCCTGGGCTGCCTGACCCATCCATCCACGCCCCTGACCCAATTCCCACACGCCCCTACTCCCGGTCTGGGCTTCTGCCTCCCACTTATTACCTATTCCTTCTCTTTACCTGGGCCTTGCTTGTCTGACGTTTTCTCATCGATGGGCCTGATGTGGATGGAACTTGGGCATGCCTGTGACTCGGGTGAAAGAAGAGCACATTGCCTTGGAGGGACCCCTGCTTCTTCCTTCTTTTTTTATTTATTTATTTTATTTTACATTTTTTTTTGGTAACCCGATCTGTTGGCAAAGACATACAGGGAATTAAAAGAAGAAAAATTGGCAGGAAATGAAAAAAAAATAATAATAATAAAAGACTACCCTTGTCTAATCCAGGCGCCCCCAGGCTAGGCGTTTTTTTTTTTTTTTCCAAACGTGTACACAGTACCCCGTACAATAATCTGGTGGTACTGTGCTGAGGTTTTGCCGCCGTCAAGTCTCTGCTTCATCTGCATTGCTCATCTCCCCCCATTGGTCGGATGAAACCCCGGCATGTCCAATCATGCTCTCGCCTAGCCTCATAAACACTGCTCGCTGTGGCCTTGCTGGTCAGGGTTTTTCTCTATTCATCTCTTCCACTCCTTCTTTGTACAAGTACCTGTCTACAGCCCTCCTTCACTAACCACCTCTCGACTTGACCGTTCCTTGATGCCAGCCTACCTTCACCTTCTTTTCAGATAAAGCACAGCCGCACCATACATACGCCTGACTCTGCTCCTGCCACTGCATTCACTAGCACCTACCGTCTTTTCCAAACATCTTCAGCACTTGTCACCACCTGTCGTCATTCACTACGCCTTGCCTCTCCACTGATTACAACCCAACACCTATATATTCAATCACCACGGTCCGGAGGCCTACGTTGGGCATTGACTCATTTATAGCCATTACCTCTTGGACCATTTCAAGGCACGCATGCCCAGAGCCTAACAATAGAGAGCCCTACCCCCGTTCTTTGCGGCCCATCTCTCGCATCCTCCGAAGCACTTTATTAAACCTGTTGCCTGCCTGTTCGCCGCACCAGGCAAGCAACCACCATAATCGCAGTCGTGGCTCAAATCCAGACACAGTCGCTACTCTGCCTCTCGCGGGCAGAGTTTCCTTATTCGTCAACTTTTCCTAGCGCTGCCATCAACTGTCGAGGAATTTCAAAGAGTGGTCCTAGGAAGCCTGCATCTGGACGAGACTCTTCAACGGCCATCACAGTGGATATCGCCTCTCTCATCAAACGAGAAGACTCAGATGAGTCGAAAATTCCACCGGAATACTCAAATCGCGCTCCTTTACTCTTCTCTTCCGCCCCAGCGGCTGCCCCAATGCTCGCACAGTCCATGACCCATGGACCACCTCCTCTGGCCTCCCAGATGTCCCACCACCAGATGCCCCCGATCCCTCCGAGGGGCAGCAGCTCGTCTACCCGTCGCAATCTACCTCGGCAAAGCATAGAAACCTATCCGTCGCAGCCTGTCAAGAAGCAAAGCAAATGGTCTCCCGAGGAAGATGCCATCATTATCGAACTCCGAGGCAAGAATATGAAATGGGACGACGTATCGAAACACTTGCCAGGTCGAAGCTCCATCAGCTGCCGTCTACATTACCAAAACTACCTTGAACGACGGAGCGAGTGGGACGAAGAACGCAAGAATAAACTTGCACGACTGTACGATAGGTTAGTAGCTCTTGTTCAACGCCCAGTCGCAAAGTTTGATGCATTCTGCCCGCAAGCACCAGTTTTGCGACGAGCGCGGGAACAACTTGAAGGTGCAAATCATTCACAATGCTAACTGGACGACAGATTCAAAGCAGAGATGTGGGCCAAGGTGGCCGAGGAGCTACAGGTTCCGTGGCGTGCGGCAGAAGCCATGCACTGGCAGCTTGGAGAAAATGACATGGCGCGAAGAGCAGGTCAAACTCCGTTTACTCTTGCTGCTGTCAATGCGGAGGCAGCCGGCCGAAATTCTCAGATCCGAGGACATGCGCATACGCAATCGCAAGAGAGCATAGGACGCGAAATGCGAGCATCAACGCCACAGTCATCATACGGAGCCATTGGAGGCTCTCGACCGCCCAATGTCATGAACCGTCGTGAGCCTGCCATGCAGATTGGCCCACCACCACCACCGCATCCTATGCCGCCTTCTGGCACGTCAATGCCAATGCAACAGCAACAGCCGCCTCCGCCTGCGCCTGGCGACTATTACATGGGACATGGCTTGCCGCCTATTCAGCCTCAGCAGCAGCCCCAGCAGCAGCCTCGAGTGCCCGGTCCGTTGCCAGGCGTTGTCGAATTGACTACAGGCGTCCAACCTTACTCGACACCACCGTCAGCCCACTTGTCTGGACCGCCTCCTCCACATCCGCAGAGCATGCATCACGGGATGGCGCCGCAGCGCGGCCACCAGCCCGGACCGCCCTTGTACCCAGAGCAAGATCATGGCCGGCTGAAGCGACCCGGGAGCCCGGACAGTCGATTGCGAGAGAGCAACTACCGACGACGAATGGAATAACATTTGCAGTTCTTGTGTATATTTTGATGGAAATTTGACTACATGGTATGATAGCATGGTAAATGGATGGATATGAAGGATTGAGTCAAGGCGGATACAGAGTCGAGCATTTTGAAGCGCGGATTTCGAGTTTTACAAAGTATACAAACAACAGACACAACAGAGGGACTACGACTGGTTTCCGGAAGACGGCTGGCACGCAAGCGGAACGTAATAATGATCCAAGCATCCAGAAAGGGAAAGTCACAGAAGCACCGTGGCATTTCGCGCTTGCACGAAACAAGCAGCACAGCGCCCCCATTTTAGGGTCAGCCGACGAGAAGACAAAAGTTGTGTATATAAACAAGCGTTAGATTCATTTTCTTGGCGAGGATTGGCATTTTTGGGATACCTCTTGGCGGCTATTTTTTTTCTCTCTGATTTTTACTGCTTCATTTTTCCTTCTATTACTAAATTATGCACTGGATATGGTAATTACAATCGCTTGGATTGCTATGCTCCGAAATAGCTTAACGACAATGCAGTGGATGGGTGGTGGATTGACGAAGATGGTGCTGGGCCTATAAGAAAGCCAATATCACTCTAACGGTTAACTGCTTTTGGGTTCGTTCTTTTTCTTGTTGCCTGCGTCCGTGTTGACTTGTACATGTCTAATCTATTGATGCTCATTTCCGCCACTTTGAAAATCGATAATATAGGCTCAATAGTACAATTCAAGGCACAGTAGATAGGATGAGTCACAAATAAACAAAACACACCGTCACGGCAATTAGGCCGGCTTGAGTGTTAATGCGTTTACGTTCAACATGACGTCTTCTTGGCGAGACAAAATAGTAGAGTCAGGGCCGTCTCAAATGACCTTGACAAACTAGAAGCAGTCTGACCATCTTTTCTATTAGCCCGTCTTTGAGATGTTCAAACTCAAAGATGGTGTAGCACTTGAGCTATGACGAAGAGGGGTGTACAAGAAACTGTTTTGCGTCAACTTCTATTAAACGTCTCCGTTTCAATGTTCTCCATATTGCCATCCCATCTTGCTGCCTGTTTGCCTTGCTTTCAGAAAATTCTGCCAAAAAAGAAAACTCTTTTCAGCAGGTAGACTCGGCGTGGCGTGTGCGGGGAAAAGAGGGCGTGTGTGTGTCAAGGAGCGTGCATGATCTTGGGAAGGGGGGGGGCGGTCTGATTGTGTTCCGTCCGTCTCGTTCGCCGTCTACGACTGGGGCCGGCTAAAGACTGCCCACCAGTTATCGCGCTCGTAGCCACTCTCCTCGACAACACCGCCTGCGGCCGCAATGTCCTCCTCGAGCTCACCCTTCCTGTAGAGGTGATAGTACCGTTGAAATGTTTCGTTGGGCCGACCTTTGGCCCGCATAACCCAGGGGACTAGCGTGTCCTGCTCGCTGTCCTCGTTCCAGCCACGACGACTGCTGGCCTGCTCGAGAGCCCAAACAAACACCAAGCCGGTGGCCTTGGTGGTGGTATGGCGTCCGGGTGCCTGGAGGGGCGTTTCCGATGTGCTGCTGCTGCTGCTGCTGCTGCTGCTGTTGCTAGCTGGCTTTGCGGAGGCCGCCGCCGCTGTTGGGTGTGGCGGCCTAAGCCGAGAAAGAAGCTCACCGATGGCTTCTACGCGGCGTATTCTTGTAGAAAGATGGTGCACGACGGCGATGCAAATGACAAAGTCAAAAGCGCCAAGTCGGTAGGGCAGAGCGAGGCCATCGGCGACGGCGACCTCGGTGCCGCCAGGAACACAACCGCGGTCTTCGTCTACATTCTCAGTAGTGCTGCTCTTCTGCGTCGCAGAAGATTCTGTTGTTGCTTTTAGGCTGGGCCCAGCGCCGCTGCTGCCCCGACTGCGTGCGAGACGCACAAGCTCGCTGCTGCGGTCAGACCCTAGCATGTGCAGCGCGGGATTGACATCGAGATATTTGCCGTTGCCACACCCTACATCGAGCCCAACGGCCCCCGCGTGCTGAGCTTCCAGGTAGGTGGCCACACGGGGCCAGGGAGAGTGGCGCGTCGATGAAAAGTGCGGCGCGATGGCCTCGTACACGGCATGCACATGCGTGGACTCGTAAGCCTCTGCCTTGCTGGCATTTGTAGCAGGCGACTCTGGCACCATTTGCTGCTTGGTAATGATGCCTCCACACCGAGATTATTGGAAGAGCCCTGAGAAAACTGGGAACAGACCGTGGAAAGTAGGGCAAGAAGCTGGATTTTCACGCAGCCCGACTGTCAGCTCCCCTGTAAAGACTGTGGTGTCGTTTGGCTAGAACCTATCAGCCCTGCTTCTCCACGCTGTTACACCTTTGGAACTCCAGTCAAGGGCTGGAGACACTGATCCCTTGCAAAAGGGTTGGAGTCGCGTGTTCGTAAAGACGTTGGCGAAGCTGTTGCAGCGTTTTGGTCAGGGAGGCCGGGGCGGCTATGGACGGCCACGCCGAGAATACGTGCAATGACCGGGTATATTCAGCGTGGCACTGACGTTGCTTCAAATGGTCTTTGTGATTGGCTCCGGAGACTTGTGCGGCTTGGCGTGGGCTTGCAGCGGTGATGCACTGGCCGAAGCAATGCCAGCATAGCAGTGCTAAACACGTCACGAAACCGGAAAAGGACGGATGATGGCCCGCAGAGAACTTTTTGACCGCGCAAGGCAGGAAGCAAAGCAATAGCTATATTAGTAGACAAAGCCTCAATCCTTGTCTATAGCCTCGATTGCCGATGGAAACTAGGGGTCGATGAGCGTGTGTGTCTCGGTGGATTTGACATATGAGGGGTTCCGTTGGTGCCTCGCGTTCTGCGCTGTCACGGAGCCGCAACTTGTCGGTTTGCTGAGGATGAAAATATGTTTTCCTCAATAAAGTCTCATCATTTTGTAATGCCTATCGTGACCTTGTCTCGTGAGCATCAACCGATCTGGTATGATGAGCAGCTAATGTGGAAGAGCAAAAGAAAAAATGCGGGCGTTGGTTATGAGTGGATCAACAGTTACGCCGCCCCTCTTGACGACTGGACGACGGCAGTTCGTAGCCAACTTCTTAGAAGCTGTCAATTTGCGCTTTTCCGAGGATATTTTTTTTTCTAGAATCGTTACTCCGTACGGCATTGAGGTATAGGTCGTTGCCCAATTAGCATAAAAGCAAGTGGCGTTACAAGTTGCTCGCTACAGGGATCCCTCGTGCCGCTATACGCCCCGTGCTTCATCGATTTATTAGCTGATTTGGTCCGCTCCTTCTCGTAACGCCCTCGCTTAATTATGAACATTAAAGGCATAAACAGGCTTGAATTGAGCACGCACAAGTCACTTCGGCATTGAATTTGCTATGGCATATTCTGGGTGTCGCGACTTGTATCTTCTCCAGGTGTCGGGGCTTATTCATGCATCGAGCCTAGACATGAGACGGTATTTGAAACGCGGAAATTGAACTTTGCTGTTTTGTTTCAACACGCTTCAGATGAACCATCATAATTCAGATTGTCCCCGCCGTTCGGTTATTGATCTCGAGCAATCACAGGTCTTCGATGTGAGATTAATTTCCGCAGCTTCTATACTGTAACACGGGGTTGCAAGAAATAAAGAAACATGCTGACCTTGATTACTCCTTTCGAGTTGAGGTAAGTAAGATTACCTGCGAACTGAGTTTCATGCTGGCAGAGGCCGTGTGCCAAGTATCGCACCAAAGCAACTAACTTAGTTATCACAGCTCCATCTTCACGGGCTCTCCGATTGCTACCTATAAGTTCATGCTATGTTCAAGGCAACAGCCACGAACGAACGGCAATACCGGCATTAAATTATTGATCATGCGCGAAGAAAAAAAAATCCACCCACGGCGTCCGGATAGAGAGGCATGGGCGTGGTTACAATACAGCGCAATTGCTTCTAGCCGAACTCCTCAGTCATGCTCAAAACTTTTGGATCCGAAATATGCTATGCAAGCTGGACATGTCTCCGTCACGATCGACCCCACCATGATGGATTTACTTGCCCATCATATATGTCTGACATCATATTTACTGCCTATTGTTACTTGTTGCCAACATTGAGAGGGCTCTTGGGATCAAATATATCCGTCGCAATGAGCTCAGGATACTTGATGTTTCCTTGCTGAAGCGCAGAGTCCATGGTCTCCATGATGACAATACTCTCGCTCAAAGGTAGAGTCTGGCTTTCCTTGCGGCCATCACGCAGACAGCGCGCGCACTCGTCAGCCTCCCAGAACATGCCATGGCCGTAGTCGACCTTGGGGTCCTTGGGAATGGGGCAGTCGACAATATCGACCTTGCTGTCGTCCTGGCGGATGACCTTGTACTGCGTGGGACGGAAGGCCGGGCCAAAGACCTGGATCTCGCCCTTGGTCCCCTGGATGCGGATCGCGGGGCCGGCCGAGTTTAGGTTGTTCGGATTAGTGGCCACCTTGATCGATGTAGTGGCGATGCCAGTCATCTGGTTCTTGGGGAAGTGGCAGATGATGCTGGTCGTCTCGTCGGCACCGGTGCGGTACTGATCAATGGCGGCGAGGACGTTGGGAGATTCCTTGTCTTGCTGGAGGTGGTACAACGTCTGAAATACCCAAGTGAGGGCGTAAATACCAAGATCTAGGAGAGCGCCACCGGCAAGATCCAAATTCACCATGCGATTAGTGTCAGGGTACTTGACAGAGCCGTCATCTTGCCCGTCAGCAAAGGCCAGATCAGCTGCAGATATGTTTAGTTATATACCATTATTGTGTAGTGAGCAGACAAAGGTGCAGCATACCGACAGTACGATGAACTCTGCCAATAGCACCAGAGGTAATCAACTCCCGAATCTTGATGCTCAAAGGAAAGTACCGCGTCCAGACAGCCTCCATTAGGAACAGATTCTTCTCCTTGGCCTTGGCGACCAGCTTCTTGGTCTGAGCCGCGGTGACGGTGAGAGCCTTTTCACACAGCACATTCTTGCCCGCATCCAGCGCGAGCATGGCGTTTTGAAAGTGGTGGCTGTGCGGCGTGGCCACGTAGATGACGTCGACGTCGGGGTCTGCGACAAGCTCGGCGTACGAGCCGTAGGTCTTGGCGGTGGAAGGGCCGTTGATCTTTTGAACGAAGCTGGCGGCGCGTCCGGCGGAGCTCGACGAGGCCACGGCGGCAATCTCGTGGCGGATATCGTGGACGTCGCGGACGGCAGGGTCACAGAGCAAGTCTCGGCAGAAAGCTAGGTCAGATGTTAAATTTTGCGCGGCACGAAATTGCAGCTTGTGGGTTTGCTTACTCTCAGCGATACCGCCAGTGGCTAGAATACCCCATTTGACGGTGAATGGAGTTTGGTCAGGCATTGCGACTATGGCTGTATCGAACTTGCACACTGAGAGTCTGGGGAAGCTGTTGTGTTAGCAATGCTGTCGCTACTCCACCGAGGGGAGAAGGTTTGTAAGCCAACTTTCCGAGTATCTCGACAAACACCAATTTGCTTATGTCCTTGGACGTCGATTGGCAAGTCAATGCAGTATTGTCAGTACTTGGTCAGTTGTGATTGAGGAAAAAATCGGTTATTCAGAGCTGTTTGGTTTCCCCGCGTTGAATGATGGTGGGGGTTCCCAAATGACGTCCATTAACTATTGAAAACCGGGCCCGTCGGAAAAAGGCACGATTCAACGTTACCTTGGCCGGGATCCAGTTTTGGAGTAACTTGACGAATGTATTACACGAAATCGATTTCAGTAGGTGGAAATGTTCAAGTCATGTTGCCATAAAGCTGGACCATCTGATGACAACACTTGGACAGTAGTTTCAAAAGCTGTGGCGATATATCGGTCGCTGAGAGATGTGACTTGAACGCAATCAAGTTGTACAATTCTAGAACAATGTTACCGTAACTCGGGTATTGAAATTGGTTATATTTATACGCTCTGTAGCGTGCTTCTTCAGCAACCCAAGGAGCTGTTGGAAAAGAAAATGAAGCAGTCTTGGCTTGGTAATGATTCGCCGCCAACTCTGTGTTATCCGGTGCAGGCATCTGCCGCAGAGGCGTTGTTTGACTCCAATCCAGTCGTTGGTTGTTCTTCTGTAACTCGCCAGTCCGATCATGGCTATACTGTTTGTACAGACGCTTCCGATAAGGGCTGCCCTGGGGCTCCGGCCCGGCTGCTGGAGGCGGTCCCGCGTACCGGCCGCCATGTTGATCGCTCCAAGTAGGAGCCAAACCTCAGCTCATGTCGCCTACATTGAGTAGACCTACCACAATACACGACATGACTTGCATGATCATCAATTAATCTTCCACGTAATCTATGTAGGATGGATAATTATTCTTAGTCAAGGTCAGCGCGGACTGTGAAAGTAGCAGCGTACGTACCTCTTGTCCGCGCAATGTACCCGCTTATCTCCTACCTACCTAGAGTGGCGACCAAGACAAACGATCAACTTGAACCTTTCAATCCGCACCCTACAAATTGATCAAAGTCATCGCACATCATGGCGCAACCGTCCCTTGGTGCTCAGGCGTCCCGTTTGGCGCGAGATTTTACCCTCAACGGTGTGTCCCGAACGCGCATGCCCAAGCTCGTCTATGGCACGGCCTGGAAGAAGGACGAGACAGCCAGGCTGGTGTATACAGCTCTCAAGGCTGGCTTTCGCGGCATCGATACAGCCGCTCAACCGAAGCACTACAATGAGCAAGGCGTCGCAGCGGGCTTCAAAAAGGCCGTCTTGGAGGGAATTGTGAAGCGCGAGGATGTTTTTGTGAGTTGTAGAGGAAGCTTTGTGCGCCGAAATTAGAGTTCCTAACTGCTTGGATAGATTCAGACCAAATTTACACCGCCCAGTGGCCAAAACGAAAATGCGCCGTATGATTTCAGCGCATCCGTTGAAGACAAGGTGCATCAATCTGTGCGGTCATCTCTCAAGAACTTCACAATAGACGGCCAGGACGCATATCTTGACAGTCTTGTGCTGCACTCCCCACTCGACACACTCGACGACACCATAGTGGCATGGAAGACCTTGGAAGGCTATCACCCGCACAAGATTCGTAACCTGGGCATCTCCAACGCCACGCTTGGCATCGTCGAAGCACTCCATAGCCGTGTTACCGTAAAGCCGGCTATTGTTCAAAACCGATTCTATCCAGACACCGATTACGAGGCTGGGCTGCGCGTATTCTGCAAGGAGCACGATGTCAAATTCCAGTCATTCTGGACCATTGGAGCGAACCCTCACTTGATCAAGAGCCAGCCAGTCGTGAATGTTTTGCAAGGGGCCGGCGTTGGTATTGTGCCTGCTTACTATGCACTGGTCATGGGCCTGGAAGGAATCACAATTCTCGATGGAACTACTAAAGAGGCTCACATGAAGGAAGACCTAGATGGCCTCGAGCGCGTCGGCGCCTGGGCTGACGGCGATGGTGAGGCGACGTGGAAGAAGGCTCTCGGTGAATTCAAGCAACTTATCAAGGAGCCCTAAGGAGAGGTGTGCGAGGCTCAGTAGTTATCCGCCTCTGGGAACCCGGTCTATCTGTTGGTTGAAATGCTCATGTATGTTTTTGACGATTGAATGCATAGATTGTCGTTCAAGTGTCCTTGGCAAAAGTATTTGCTACGATAAATGGGAAGCATGCCGTCGCCTCCATATAAACCTGTGGCAGAGGTTAATATCGGTTCACCTCAAGTGCCGACTGCCCTTCATGAGCGGCTCAATCACTTACTTTGACACTGTCGGCGCCAATTTTAATCTTGCCCCACGATACGGCCTCATCTGGCCTGGCGCCGGCATCACTGCCATCAAATTCTTGCCCTGTGTTGATGTAGACCGCGGATTCTGCACCGTTGCGCATGAGGCAAGCGTTGGCAATATGATGCTTGACCACGCCACCGCCCAGGATGATCATACCGGCCCGCTTAGCGCGCACAGAGATTGTGTTGATCTTGCGAATGTCCTCGACAATGTCGACTTTGAGCTGCTGGGGTGAAGACTTGAAGGTGTGAAAGTAGAGCATGTCTCCAAGGCTACCGTCAGTTAGTGCGGGACAAAAGACGGGAATGTCATTCTTGTAGGCCCAGTAGTAGACGGAGCGCTCGTCGTTGATCTCCTTGCCGAGGCGGTGGATGATTTTGGAAGGCGTCCAGCTAACTTCGTCGTCGGTGCCCTTGCTGGCCTCTTGCTCCTCGAGCATCTTGTCAAGAATAGGCACGACCCAGTCTTCAAAGGCACAGTAGTTGGCGTTGGGCACGACGAGATTTCCGATGCGGTTCAGACCCTTTTTGCGCAGATCGGCGCCAACGGCGCTAAAGGAGCCCATGTAGGTCTCGCCAAGGCACTTGATGAAGTCTTCTTCGATGCCACCCGCTGTGGTGACAATGGCAGATACGTGTTTATGCTCGACTAACCAGCGAAGAACACCGCGAAGGCCAGATGAGATCAGGTTAGAGGTGTAACCGAGGAAGATGGTTGTCTTGTCACCAGTTTCTGGGTCTTTCCAGGCTTGCTAGAGACGGGATGTCGTGTTATTATTGTTGTCATGGAAAGAAAAGCAAAGATTTCATCAGAGATGGAACGTAGTATTACCATTTCGTTGATGATTCGAATGGCCTCGCTCATGGCAGAGGCCTGAAAGCCCATGTGGCGCATGCCCATGAAAAGATCGTGTGCTGTGATGGGACGGTTGAGCTTGTTGAAGTCGAGCTCCTCCACCTTTTGGGCATCGGCGGGCATGTCTTCGGACTTGACGAGGACAGCATCTTTGGCGCCTGAAGGAGCAGATTGTCCAGCCATGATGACTGGAATAAGTTGTGTGCGCAGTGTGGTTCGTAGCAATCAATCTCCGTACGGCATCAGACTCATAGCTAACGAGTACGAAATTCTGGTGACTCCACTATTGAACTGGAGGGACGCCTCACTGTGCCACCTGCCACTGCCACGCCTGCCACGCCTGCCAAACACTGCGGTTGCATCAAAAATGCAGGAAAAAATAGGTAGGGTCGTGGCTAGGCCAACACGACAATGCCGAGTTGAGACTAGCGTAGTTTGGTGAGGACGCTAACCCGGCTTTTGCTGGTCAATTGGTCCGACTGCAAGCTTGGGGCTGGTGTACCGAGAATTGCCCACGCCATTGTACCTGTGTTTGATGCATGGACAAGTAGTAAATAATGCCTACTATCTCTGTAGCTTTGCGATTCCCACGTCTTTTCTTTTCTGCCTCTTCTTCTTTCCCTCTCTCCAGAAGTTTCGGCGAGTTTGTTGTCGATGCCTCCCGCTGCGATGCACTTTGGCGGGCATCTTGCCCGAGGCCCTGGCCCACTTGTTGCCAGCTAAAGGGTTGGTGCGGTGCAAGTGGTTGCACCGTATTTTCAAGTACCTGCCCGGGGGTGGAACCTCCGTGCATCCTTTGATCCCTTCATCCATCTTTCCGTCCGACTTCCATCACCAACCACCACGCATACCTCCCTCCCGTTTGCTGCAGCTGCTGCTCCACGCCCGCATCTATATTGACGGCTGTATTTCTTAATCTTGTGCCCTCTGTATTGCGCCCTGCCGCCCGCCCGCTCTCTTTTCGCCTGTCCTTCCGCGCATCGACACGAATCTCTGCGATCCGATCGCCAGGAGGCCACCACCCTACTCACGACAACAACGCCCACCAACTCTCCTCCTCTACGCGCCTTTTGATCTACGCCTCTCTATCTGTGCGAATGGGACCGTAATTTTGTCGCGCCAAGTAGCGACACAGTAGCCTGCTCTTGAGCATGTACGCATTTACCACTCCACCACCCCTACCAGCCGCACTTCGCGACGCCACCACCCGACCTCCGCCATCGCTGACCGAGCTTCGGGTATTTATCCCCTCATCACTTGACTAACTTTTTCATTTAGGGCTTCTAGATATTCTAGATATGAGCCGGACCGGCGGTCGCGCTCTCCTAGGGACCGTTCCCCGGATCGCTTCGACCGTGGACCGCCATATGACCAGGATAGACGCCGCTCATCCGCCGAATCGAGAGGCAATCAAGGCGGCTTTCCCTCTAATCGTGATGGTTTTGGCGATTCCATGCGTCGAGACCCGCCTCGGGGCCCCAAGGCTCTCATCGACCTGCCCAATGGTCCCCGCGGAGGTGGTTTCGCCGGAGACTTTCGCGGCGGTCGCGGCCGCGGCAGGGGCCGTCCCTGGCCAGCTCGCGATGATAGCAGAGAACGCGGCAGGGAGAGGGACCTTGATTTTCGCGACCGTTATCGCGATGATCGTAGCCGTGAGCGAGACCGTGATCGTGACAGGGATAGAGACTGGCGCGACCGCGACTTTGGCCGCAGGCGCTCCCCCATTGGACGTCCCAGATCGCCCAACAGGGACTTTCGAGATCGTGACCGCGATGCACCGCCCCCACTAGACGTCGAAAGACCTCGCCGCGCCTCTCGCGACGCTGGGCCGCCTTCGGCTGGATCTGCAGTCTCCGACCCGCCCTTTGGCGGTCCTTCGTTTTCGCGTGGAGGCGGCTTCATGAGAGGCCGTGGAAGAGGGGGAAGGGGTGATTGGGGTCCTGACAGAGGTAGAGGACGCACTCCCTACGACGACCGCAATGATCGCTATCCCAGAAGCCGTTCTCAGGAGGGCCGCTGGGGTCGAGACCGCGATGATCGAGATAGAGGAGATCGTTATCCCGAAGATGGCCGCAGAGATATACGCGATGATCGCGATAGACTCGATAGAGATCACCTTCGAGGCAAGCCGGACGCCCGCACTCCAAATCCGATAGAGTCGGCACCGCAATCCCGTGAGGTATCGCCTCCCCCCGTCGCACCATCGGCCCCAGCATTTGGCTCTGTGCCAAACAGAGCATCGATTTCGCTTGACAGCACCAGCAAGCCACCTTCTATGCCCAGGGCGCACAGCGATCGTCCGCCTTCCTCGGGTCATTTGGGACCTGGTAGTCCTTCTCTGAGCGTCCGTGGCCCTCCACCAGGCCCCAGTCGACATTTTGGCAGAAGAATACCAGACTCTCCCAAAGCAATGCGATCTCACACTTTTGCTTACGGAGGCGACTATCCAGAGCAACGACGCCCCCGTAGTAGCGGGGCAAATTCTGATTCTGTCGCAGCCACGGAGAATCGATCGCGGTCCAATTATAGCGCCGAACCAGGCGAGATTGTTAAAGGCGAACATGAGGTGCAAGACTCCAAGCAGTTGGCTGCCGATCTCGATGAAGGCGAGCTACCTCAGGAAGCCGAAAGGCCATCCACCCAGAAGCTCAGCACCAAGCACGTGCCACCAAAAGTTGGTCGCAAGCGCAAGCGGCCTGCTGTTGGCGTTGTTCGATTCTCGCTCCCGCCAAAAAATTTAAAAGACGACGACTCCGAATCCGACGATGACGAAGACATGGCTGACTACTTTGATATGGAAATCAGCAAAACTGAATCCGAGCTAAGCAAGCTACAGAAGCCAGTTCTGCCACTGGAAGTCCTTTCCCGCTATGCCTCACTCTCCCATGGGTCTATGGTCAAGATACTGAACGACGGTGAAGGGTTGGTGGAGATGCTTGGCCAACCGCCAGAAGGCATGGCAATCAGCACAGCCAATGATGAAAAGGAGGTAGTCCAGCCAAAGCCAGAGGCTGTTGCTATATTGGAACCCCAGCCAAAGCCAGAAGAAACAATGCCCTCCATCGCCGATCTTCCGGTCATCACCAAGAACGAAGAGACCCCTATTCCACCTGTGGCTGCCATTCCGGAGATTGAGAGCGGACAGGGGGAGCCAGACTTGCGGCTTGACCTGCAGTCGAAGTCGGAACCGGGGCCGGAGCCGGGAAAGAATCTGGAGAAGGGTTTGGTGACGGAACCGGAACCGGAGAAGAGACCCGAGAAGATCTCGGAGAAGGAACCGGAGGAGAGATTGCAGGAAGAACCGCAGGAGAGACTACAGCAAGAATCGCTGGAGGAGCCACTCGTGGAATTGCTTGATAAACCGGAGAATGAACCACAACCAGAACCAAAGGCCGAACAGCCAGCAGCAGTAGTACCGCCGATTCCCGAAATCGACAAAGTTCTGAATGAGCCCGAACTGGAACTGGAGCCTCAACTCAATGGGGCCGCAGAATCCGCGGAGCTACAGTCTGAAGAGTTCAAGATACTTGAGGCCCCTGTGCCTATGGAAATCACGGAGACCGGATCCAAGGTCCCCAGCACGCCCTCTCAAGTTGAGGATGACGAGACGGAATCCGAGGATGACACGTATCTGGACGTCGATGCTACTCGACAATACATGGCTACTCCGCCTCCCGACAGCCTGCCGCATTTCGCCACAAAGCCCTGGGACAAGGATACTGAGTTTCTGGCAAGTTTGGAGACTGATCCTGAACTCGATAACTACGTCGCGCAGCACATGAGCAAAGTCCATTTGGATAGCAACCGGGAACAGAACGAGCAGCGCCATGTATATGCCGACAACTATATCCGCTACCTCGATTTCACCACCTCCAGTGATCCGGTTGCTGTCAAGAGTCGAGACAAGTTCTCCGTCACGATGCCCATCCCAGAACCCGCAACTGCGGCGACACCTGAACCAAAGCCCGAGGGCCGTACCTCGGGACGCCGCTTTGCCACTGAACGTGATCTCGAGCGCGTTCTGCAAGCCTCGATGCGAGAAGATGAGGAGCGAAAGGAACGAGAGTTGCGAATTCAAAAAGAGAAATACCGGAGCGAGAAAGAAGCCGATATCCCTAGCATGTACTGGGACGCAGAAGAACGCCAGAATGTACAGTACTGGGACCACACGGGTTATACGCCGCAAGACAGACTCGTATCTACTTGGCAGGTTCTTGCGCCGGTGAATAACTTTACGAAAGAAGAAGCAGAACTTTTCGAGAAGCGATATCTGGAGCATCCCAAGCAGTGGGGCAAGATTGCCGAAGTCATACCCAACCGTGACTTTGGTACATGCATCCAATATTATTACCTGATGAAGAAGGAACTCAATCTCAAAGAGAAGCTGAAGAAGCAGCCCAAGAGGCGCAAGAAGGGCCGAGGCAAGCAGCGTTCTAGTGCATTGATGTCTGAACTTGGCAATGCCGATCCGGAGACGGAAGACAATCAGGAAGCCGGTGAGAATGGCGAGAGGCGACGCCCCAGACGTGCCGCTGCTCCTACATGGGGCTTTGAGCAACCTCCCATCGATCCTGACACTTCTACGCCCGTATCGACCCCTGGCCGCCGTGCTCGAGGCGAGGGGGAAAAGGCCGATGGCAGAAGGCGTGGCAGGAAGTCGGCCAAGGACAAGGAAAAGGAAGCCAAAGAGAAGAAGGCGAATCAATCGCAATCCGCGGCATCTACTCCAGGACCAAGCAAGGGACGGCCGCGATCATCTTCACGTATACCTGAAGGTCCCGCACCAGTACCCAACGAAATCCATCCCGCCATACCCAACTTCGAGCAGGCTATTCCCTCTGGCATCCAGCCGCCGTTCTCTGTTCATTCGCAGCCTATGACCGGTATTGAGAGGCAGCAGACGCCTGTGGTCCCGCCGCCCATCGTGGATGTGCTGTCCGCGCCATCTCTCAGGCCAGAGCCGCCGCCACCACCACCTCAGCCGGCCATGGCAACTTTCAACCTGTCCCAGTCTAACCAAGATCGGAAGGCGGCTACGCAAGCATCTAGTTACTGGAGTGTATCCGAATCTAACGATTTTCCTCTGCTGCTCGCGGCATTTGGATCTGACTGGACCGGTATTGCAAATCACATGGGATCGAAAACCGCAGTTATGGTAAGCTAAACACATTACGAACGAATGGGAGAAAAAAAGGCTAACACTTATGTCTAGGTCAAGAACTATTTCGTTCGTCAAAAAGACCAGACGAAACCAGAATTGGAGGCCATTGTAAATGACGCAGACGCGAAGCGTATACGAGGTGAAAAACGGCCTGATCCACCGATGCCCACCACTGGTGGTCGTGGAAGACGATATGATGTACTGCCACCTACCCCTGGTCGCCCTGGTCCCTTTGGCGTTGCACCGGGAATGGATATGCACAATGAGCCGCCGCCGCCAGTCAAGCAAGACAATGGACAGCCAGGCCGCACACCAGGATACCCCGCTTACGGTGTCCCTATTGCAAAGGCGCCTGCACAAGGTCTTGGGCCGCCTGCAGGACAGCCCGTCGGAGCCCAAGCCGCGCCACCGCCAGTCGGTCAGCCGCTTTCTCCCTCTCGCACAGAACGTGGGCCCCCGCCTGCCTTTGGCTTTCCTGATCGTGACCGAGAGGTTCGCGGACCCTTGGCACCGAAAGGACCTGGCGCTGGTAGCCCCGACATCCGAAATCAGCGAATTTTACATGAGCGCCAAAAAGCCGAACTTGCACTGCGCGAATCTCACATGCGCGAAAGGGAACGGGAGCGCGATCTCGCTCGTCAGCCCATGCGTGTGAAGCAGGAGGAGATGCCACCGCAACATGGTGGCTACGAGCCATTTGGCCATCGCCAACAGCCGAGCTTGGGACAAGTCAGGCCCGAGCCGCTGTCTCTCGGACGGCCGGCAACGACAGAACCGCCGCGCAACTATGGTCAGGCACCGCAGCCTGCCCGAGGGCTACTTGGCGATCCCAGCCCTAGCCACTCGCCGCCTGTGGCGAGACCAATGTCGACCATGGGCTCACGACCGCCATCTGGAGAGATTTACCCTTCCCATGCTCCTCCACAGTCCCGTACTCCCGTCCCTACTGGCGGCCTAGCGAAGCCTCCCGAACCACGTAAGACGTCAAACATCATGTCTTTGCTCAACGACGATCCTCCACCAGCACCGAAGCGAGTCAACGAAATGGCGGCTCGAGCTGTCCCAACACCGCCACCACAGCCCATGTCGCGCCCGCCCCCGGCACAGCAACCTTCTGCACCTTTGCGTCGCGAACCAGAGCAAGCTTACCACGCGTATGGTCGCGGCCCTCCTCCTGCAGCGGCTCCTGCAGGTATGCCTTCACTCAAACCCTCGCAACCTCCGCCAATGCCGGGATCTCGGATGGGCATGGATGCCCAACCCGATCGCGATTATTACCGATCACATGCATTCCCCCCTGTCCCGCAAAACACGGCTACAAACTCGCCACCGACAGCACCTCATCGGTATGCTCCTCAATCTTCTCAGACATACCAGCCTCAGCCTCAGCCCGGTTACCCGGCCCAATACGGTTCGGCGCCGCCCTCGCATGCTGGGTCGCCACCTCCTCAATACACTGGCCATGCGGCACCTAGAGGAAGAGATCACGGCCCTCCGCCCCCGCAGAATGTGCGTGACTCAGGCTGGCCACCACACCAGCAGCCTCCCAGCAACGCCTGGCAACAGGGCCCCGGGCCCAAGACATCGCAGGGCCCGCCGCAGCAGCAGTCGTGGTCTCCAGCTCCGCAATCGCAGCCGCCACCTCACCCTCACGCTGTTCGAGACGATCGAGCCTACGGCACGCAGCCGATGCAAAGTCGCTACGCACCACCGGCCACCTCGCGGCCTCCCGACCCTGGTCCGCCACCGCCCGCGTCCTACAACCGCTACTCGTCGACGCCCGTACCTCGCGACCCAAGAGAGATGCCTGGCCGGAGCTACACACCTGTTGGCTACGATACCAGAGGGCCGCCGCCACCTCCTCAGGGCCCGCAAGGCTATCCAGGCCCTGACCCGCGGGATGCACGAGATCCGCGGGACATGATGGCTAGAGGGCTGCGGCCTCAGGACTATGATCGACGGCAGGATCAATATAGACGATGATGATTGGGTGGTTATTCGTGCTTTTCTGTTTTCATGATTTCAAAGTCTTGTTCATGACAATGACCGAATCAACGGTATGGGACCAAGAAAAAAAGAAGAAAGGGGCTTGCAACGAACTCTTATCACAAATATTTCTTGTTGGATACCAATGACTTCGGGGATGTATGCATAGTATTCCGGGGGGTCTTTTGCAGAACGGGGTCAGGCGCACTTTTGGAGTTCGTTTAAGTGTTTTGTCTTTTTGCAATATTTACTGTTCTTTACTCCTGTCCCAACTGATCTACATCAACACCATCTTGCAGTATTCGTGTGTTTGTATTGTCGTATTCACTACACGGGGCTAACTCGTGATTGGGCAAGGGCTGCGAGTGTAAAATTAGGATGGTCAAAATGTACGCGACAAGGTGAGTGATGGATCGGAATATAAAATGTGTAATCATTCCGTATTAATTCCAAGTTGCTCTGTGAGGCGGAGGCTTTACATCCACAGTGTGCGGTGGGGTGCGGTGGGTTGCGGTGTGGCGGATTCGGATGGTCCCTCTACGCGACCGACGCGACAGGGGGGGTAAATAAAGCTCCGAATCTCAACGTCTACAACAGCTCTTCATCTTGACTCCAAACGGCGCGCGCAAAAACAATTGATGCTCTGCGCATGTGAATTAGCCTACATTTACCATATACGAATAGAAGAAGACGAGATGGCGTCAAGTCATCGCGGCGCGTCTGCCGGTCCGTCCCGCGACAAGTCGTATTTCGAGCAGCAGCGCGAAGCTCTCCTCGGCGACATTGCCATGGTATCTTTTCCTCCTTTTCAACCTTTCTTTTTCGGCGCATTCTTCAATCTAGGAGCTGACGAAAGCCTTTGCAGAGCTTTGAGCAGGTCCTCGGCAACATTAACAAGCTGAACCGCTCGTTGGAGTCCATCATTGCGGTACGTTTTGAAAGATGTAGAGAGGGGAGGGGGGAGCCTCAAACATACGACTCGGCTGACGGGGTGTGACGTTACGTTAGGTGGGCAACGAGTTTTCGTCGGTGGAGACGCTGTGGTCGCAGTTTGAAAACGTCATGGGAAAGGATGAGGCGGCGGCGAGGCAGAGTGGACAAGGAGGAGGGGACGAGCAGCCGGTGCAATCGCAACAGCAGCAAGGATCAGGGTCGTCAGGATCGAGAGGCGTGAAGAGAGAGGCGCAGAGCGATGTAGAGAATGAATGATTGATACCCAGAGACTTTTATGTAACATGAGAAATGAACTACATTGGCGAAGCGGCGAGCGAACATGCTCAGTCACGATGATGCAGTCAAAATTTTATTCAAACATTGTAAAATTCTTTGTTTTAAACAGTCTTGAACCTGCTGCCCCCAAAATCATAGTGTAATATAACAAGGCAATGAGGGGCATCCAGGCCATACCATGTCTACAGATGAAATAATGACAGATGAAGGATACAACAAAATGAGCAGCATGTCGACAACGGCAACGACAACAGCACGAAAGCAAGCAACGACTTTGTTCAGCAGTCTTTTCACGGCCGGAACTGTCATCCAGTACATACATACCCGCAAAGAACATAAAACACACAATCTCACAAAAACAAAAATGCAACCCGCGCGCCCTCCCTTTGGCGACCCGTCAAAACATCCCGACATGTTTTTGGCCATGGCGCCACCTCAAATTTCCCTTGCTCGCTGTCGTATGATGCCGCGTAATAAAATAACAAATATGAGAACCCAAAAGTTTCGTGCCAAAAAAGAAAAAACAAAAAAAAAAAAAGAAAGAACGACAAGA